GAGCGCCGTGACACCAGGATTGACACAGCACGGGCAACAGGGAGTTCCCGCTCAACAGCGAGATCTGCGAGCCGGAAGAACGTGCCGTCGTGGACATCTCGCTACCAAATCCTTCCGTCACGATCAAAGGCTACGCTATCGGTGCACACGGTGCGATACTTGCCCCGATCCCAAGACAACGCGATTCTGACTCTCGTTGCTCTCGCAGGCGTACCGATTGCCTCCGTCCATGTTGCCCTCGTCTCGCTTCCCGTGACCGGCTCACCCGACTCTGCGACGACTCCCTCTGTCTCCGTCTCCGAGGTCGCCTCCTCTGAACTCTGCAAGATCCGCCTCGCTGCTTCAAACGTCCCTTTCTCCGCCTGGACCTCTGCAGGTCTCGACGCCGGTCCCGCCTCTTCCGCCTCCTCCTCCTCCTCAGCAAAACACGCCAAACACTGGGCCTGGACGCTCTTCACTGTCACCCTCCCCATCCCCGACTCCCTCCTCAAAGTCGCCGAATTGGGCGTTGGCGGATCAGGGACTCAAGTCGCGGCCGTTTCGTATGCGGTTGATGTTGAGGGGAAGAAGCAGGAGATGCAGACTGTGTGGAATTTGAGGGGTGTTGCGGAGGCGAGCTGGAGCGTGAGGAGGTTCGGGATTAGGAAGGTGGTGAGCTGAAGGTCTTGGCTAGGGGTGGAATTGTAGCTACCAAGGACTCTGATACCCGCACCACAAGCATGCAGCGGTGAACTGTATACACTGTGATCGTGGGCGGCTGATCTGCCTCAAGAAGCGAGAGACCGGAGGAGCCTGAATTCATTTTTCCAGTTCCAACTACCCCTCCTTCGCCGCCCGGCTCCACCCCTCCATGTACGCCGTCCGCAGCGGATTCAACTGCGCGTCCTCCTCGTCATTCAGCTCGCCGTTCGCCCCTCGCTGCCCTTCGTTCAGCCAGTCGTCTATGTCCTCTTCGTCGAGCGAGTCGTCCGAGTCGGCGTGGAACCTGGCAGCGAAAGCCATTCGTCAGCGCAAGCCGTAGAGAACGACAGAATGGCACGTACATGTAGTTGCTCAAAGCCGAGTCGACGCCCAACGC